AGGTGACACATGGAAAGCTGCTCACACTCAGGTGTGCCCGTGTCCCACGTGGCTTGGTGCCTGCCCCGGGGGACACAGGTGACACAGGTGACACAGGTGACACAGGAAAACTGCTCACACCCAGGTGTGCCCGTGTCCCACGTGGCTCAGTGCCTGCCAGGGGGACACAGGTGACACAGGTGACACAGGTGACACAGGTGACACAGGTGACACAGGAAAGCTGCTCACACCCAGGTGTGCCCGTGTCCCATGTGGCTCAGTGCCTGGCCTGGGGTACACAGGTGACACAGGTGACACACAGAAAGCTGCTCACACCCAGGTGTGCCCATGTGCCATGTGGATCAGTGCCTGCCCCAGGGGACACAGGTGACACAGGTGACACAGGTGACACAGGAAAGCTGCTCACACCCAGGTGTGCCCGTGTCCCACGTGGCTCAGTGCCTGTTCTGGGGGACACAGGTGACACAGGTGACACACAGAAAGCTGCTCACACCCAGGTGTGCCCGTGTCCCGCGTGGATCAGTGCCTGCCCCAGGGGACACAGGTGACACAGGTGACACAGGTGACACACAGAAAGCTGCTCACACTCAGGCGTGCCCGTGTCCCGTGTGGCTCAGTGCCTGGCCCAGGTGACACAGGTGACACACAGAAAGCTGCTCACACTCAGGTGTGCCCGTGTCCCGTGTGGCTCAGTGCCTGTTCTGGGGGCAGGAGGGGCTGCGTGCCCTGGCCCTGCCTGTCCGTCTGTCCTGCTCCGGGAGCGCATTCCTGCCGGCGTGGGCGCTGCCCAGACCGGCTGATCGGCTCCGGGAGAGCTTCTCCCTCTGACTCACCGGGGCTCGGCTGCGGGGAGCGCACCTGGCCCAGGTACCCTGGGCTGGGGGGATGTGGCTCTGGGATCCTGCAGGGAGCGCACCTGGCCCAGGTACCCTGGGCTGCTCCAGGATCCTGCAGGGAGCGCACCTGGCCCAGGTACCCGGTCCTGACCTGGGGGAGGTGGCTCTGGGATCCTGCAGGGAGCGCACCTGGCCCAGGTACCTTGTGCTGCTCCGGGATCCTGTGGGGAGCACACCTGGCCCAGGTACCCTGTGCTGTCCTGGGGGAGGTGGCTCCGGGATCCTGCAGGGAGCGCAGCTGGCCCAGGTACCCTGTGCTGTCCTGGGGGAGGTGGCTCCAGGATCCTGCAGGGAGCGCACCTGGCCCAGGTACCCGGTCCTGACCTGGGGGAGGTGGCTCCGGGATCCTGCAGGGAGCGCACCTGGCCCAGGTACCCTGTGCTGTGCTGGGGGAGGTGGCTCTGGGATCCTGCAGGGAGCGCAGCTGGCCCAGGTACCCGGTCCTGGGGTGAGGTGGCTCCAGGACCCGCTCCTGAGGCTCCGCTCCCCGCTCTGGAGCCCTTCCCGGGCTGAGATCTGATCCCAGCTCAGGAAATTTCCTCAGGAAAATGTTTCTGAGCCAAATTTTAAATGTTTGACTCAGAAGGAGCCGAGGCATTTTCCTTATTTGGGTTTTTCTGCTAAATACAATTGAAATTGTTAGATCTTCAGGAAAATGTTAAGAATGAGCGCATTTCTGAGCAAAATTTTAAATGTTTCACTCAGAAGGAGCTGAAGCATTTTCATGAAAGAATTTATTGGGGTTTTTCTGCTAAATACAATTTAAATTGTTAGATCTTCATTTATCAAACTTGACGCAACTGAGTTCTAGGTGAAATATTTGCCCACTGAGCAAATTTTTACCCTGAGCTAGGAAAAACTATTCCCACCACATATTTTTGCAATCAAAAGAAGAAATGTAAATGGAAAGGATATAGCATTTTTTATTCATTTTCATAAAAAAATTACTTGGATTTTTCTGCTAAATACAATTTAAATTGTTAGATCTTCAGAAAATGTTAAGAATGAGCGTATTTCTGAGCAAAATTTTAAATGTTTCACTCAGAAGGAGCTGGAGCATTTTCACAAAAGAACTTATTTGGGTTTTTCTGCTAAATACAATTTAAATTGTTAGATCTTCATTTATCAAACTTGACGCAACTGAGTTCTAGGGGAAATATTTGCCAACTGAGCAAATTTTTACTCTGAGCTATTCCCACCGCATATTTTTACAATCAAAAGAAGAAATGTAAATGGAAGGGATATACTTTTTTAATTCATTTTCATAAAAGAATTTACTTGGATTTTTCTGCTAAATAAAATTTAAATTGTTAGATCTTCATTTATCAAACTTGACACAACTGAGTTCTAGGTGAAATATTTGCCAACCGAGCAAATTTTTACTCTGAGCTAGGAAAAATCCCAAACCCTCAATTTCTCACCAAGTGACACACCTACACTACTCTCTATAATCCTTTTCACACTTTTGGGTTATATTGGGATATTGGGAATATATTTGGGGGTTTGGGGATATTGGGATATTTCTGGTAGAGCCCACAGAGAGGGGCGCAGACCCCTGGTGTGAAAAATGCCGATCACTCGTTTTTAGAATTTTAAAAGTTTAATAGTAATAAAATGGTTATAAAAATAGTAATACAATTAGAGTAATGATAATTTTGACAATTAGGATTTAGGACAATATGAGACAATAAAAGCAAAGGGTGATGGATGGTCCGGGAACCTCTTTCTGGGCAAAATAAGCCCGAAAAAGGACCCACGTTAACAGAGGATTAACCCTTAAAAGCAACAGCCTGTTGCATATTCATGCACCTCATCCATGATGCATAAATTCCATTCAAACACAGGATTCTGGCTGGGCAGGGTCAGCTGCTTCCTCTGAATCCTGACAGTGCCTTCGAGGCAGGAAGAAGTTCCTTTCTTCTGATAATGGAGCAATAAATTCTCTTTCTCTGAAAGATTTAGGTGTCCTGTGGCTGCTATCTCGCTGTGAGTCCTCTCTTTTAAAAAAGTGTCTTACACAGCACAGTTTCTATTTTAACATTGTGTTATAACCTCAAACTATGTTTAACACACTACTAACGGAAATTAATACGGCATAACTTTCTAACACAACACACATAACATTCATTGGAATATTTGCCACAAGCCAATGATAAAATACGCATTTTTCACTGCCGGGGTGCCCCCGGGCTCCCTGGCTCACCTGCAGCTTCCCGGGAGCCTGGCACAGACACACCTGGGCCCGGGCAGGGCCAGCCCTGCGGCCTCACCTGCCCGGAGGTGTGGGACTCGTGGCTGGAGCACCTCAGGGCCACGTCAGAGGCTGGGAGATGCCTCTGCCAGGGATGTTTCAGCACTGGGGCGTTTGGGGAGGGCTTTCCTGCAGTGATTGATTTGGGAAACCCCCAGGGGCGGGGCTCAGGTGCTGATGCTGCTCCCAGCTCCTTCCCAGCTGGTGCTGGGGGTGCCTCAGGTTTTGGCTTTTCTATTTTTCAGGTTCTGTGCTGCTTCAGTGTGTGGGTCTGGGTTTCATCTCAGGGGATGCTGAACTCTGTGCACAGAGCAGGGAGACAAAACAATTCCTGCTCCAGCTGGGGACCAAGGACAAATGATCCAAACCTCAGCCCCAAGAACACAAACAACGTGGGCTGGAGAGAGAAAAACAAGAAGGATGAGACTGCATAACCTAAAGCTGTAATTAGACAATTAGCTCCAATGTGCTAATTGACCAGAAGTTATAAAAATGTGAGACCCCGTGAGCTGTTGTCCTTTTTTGTGGCCGTTTTGGATCCAAATCTCAGCCCCAAGAGCGCAAACAACATGGGCTGGAGAGAGAAAACCAAGAATGATGGAATTTCATGGTCTAAAGCTGTAATTGGACAATTAACTCCAATATGTAAATGGACCAAAACTTACAAAAATGCGAGACCCCGTGAGCTGTTGTCCGTTTGTTGTGGTCATTTTGGGTTGTGCTGCCCAAGGTGTTTCCATTGAGGCCTCTTAATAAATCCCTGCTTTATTCTTCAGCTCTGCCTGGTCTCTGTTCCAGGCCAGCCCTCACAAGGCATCACTGAGCACAGGTCCCCGAGCCCCTGTGGCTGCTGAGGAGTTTTCCTGAGGAGGGGGATGCACAGATGGCAGCCCCTGCCCCTGGAAACACCTGAGCACAGGTTGAGCACAGGTAGGGCACAGCACGGTTCTGGTTAATGCTCCCTTGGGCTGTGCCAGGACACTGAACAACCCCCATGTGCACGAGCAGGGTGGTTTTAAAACAATGTGATTGTTTTAATTCCTCAAAACAAAATAAAATTTAATTCAAGTGCAAAGGAAGGATGTGACCATCTTCATTGTTGTCCGTAAAAATATAGAAGTCCATATTGGTTAAGAAAATATATAAAGAGAAGAAAGAAAGAAAGAAAGAAAGAAAGAAAGAAAGAAAGAAAGAAAGAAAGAAAGAAAGAAAGAAAGAAAGAAAGAAAGAAAGAAAGAAAGAAAGAAAGAAAGAAAGAAAGAAAGAAAGAAAGAAAGAAAGAAAGAAAGAAAGAAAGAAAGAAAGAAAGAAAGAAAGAAAGAGAAAGAAAGAAAGAAAGAAAGAAAAAGAAAAAGAAAAAGAAAAAGAAAGCAATGAAGAGAAATAGAAAGTGAGGAAGAAAGAAAGCAAGAAAGAACAAAAGGAAAGAAGGAGAAGCAGATAATGGAGGCCTGGACCCCGGGAAAGGCTCCTTGGCAGGGTTTGACCCTCGGCAGGGCCGGACCCTGGGAGGCACTGCTGTCACCTGCCCAGCAGGTACCGGGGCACTGCTGTCACCTGTGTCACCTGCTGGGCAGGTACCGGTGGCATTTCTGTCACCTGCTGGGCAGGTACCGGGGCACTGCTGTCACCTGTGTCACCGGCTGGGCAGGTACCCATGGTGTTTCTGTCACCTGCTGGGCAGGTACAGGTGGTGTTTCTGTCACCTACTCAGCAGGTACCGGTGGTGTTTCTGTCACCTGCTGGGCAGGTACTGCCGGTGTTTCTGTCACCTGCTGGGCAGGTACTGGCGGTGTTTCTGTCACTTACTCAGCAGGTACCGGCGGTGTTTCTGTCACCTGCTCAGCAGGTACCAGTGGTGTTTCTGTCACCTGCCCGACAGGTACAGGTGGTGTTTCTGTCACCAGCTCAGCAGGTACCGGTGGTGTTTCTGTCACCTGCTGGGCAGGTACCTGCGGTGTTTCTGTCACCTGCCCAGCAGGTACCGGTGGTGTTTCTGTCACCTGCTGGGCAGGTACCTGCGGTGTTTCTGTCACCAGCTCAGCAGGTACCAGTGGTGTTTCTGTCACCTGCCCGACAGGTACCCACAGTGTTTCTGTCACCTGCTCAGCAGGTACCCACAGTGTTTCTGTCACCTACCCAGCAGGTACAGGTGGTGTTTCTGTCACCTGCCCAGCAGGTACCGGTGGTGTTTCTGTCACCTGCTCAGCAGGTACCCATGGTGTTTCTGTCACCTGCTCAGCAGGTACCGGTGGTGTTTCTGTCACCTGCTCAGCAGGTACCCATGGTGTTTCTGTCACCTGCCCAGCAGGTACCTGCGGTGTTTCTGTCACCTCCTGGGCAGGTACAGGTGGTGTTTCTGTCACCTGCTCAGCAGGTACCGGCAGTGTTTCTGTCACCTGCTCAGCAGGTACCGGTGGTGTTTCTGTCACCTACCCAGCAGGTACCAGTGGTGTTTCTGTCACCTGCTCAGCAGGTACCCATGGTGTTTCTGTCACCAGCTCAGCAGGTACCGGTGGTGTTTCTGTCACCTGCTCAGCAGGTACCGGCGGTGTTTCTGTCACCTGCCCGACAGGTACTGCCAGCGTTTCTGTCACCTGACCGACAGGTACCAGGTGTCAGAGCTCAGTGCATCCCTCTGGGTGTCCAGAGTTGCCCGGACCCCTGCCAGGGGACTCAGAGACCCTGGCACACAGCCCAGAGCACCTGTGGGTTTGATTATGACCCGTGGAGCAAATTTCCAGCTTTGTATGAAGACCTGAAAGCCACAGAAGTTTAAGTAGTGTAATAATAAAATTATCTCTGGGTGAAAAAGTAGATTTTGGGGTTTTTGGAAGAGGGGTTTTGGGGACAAGATGGAGGGACTTGGGCGTGTCCAGCCTTTCTTCTTCTCTTCTGCTGTGATGTTGGCACTTTTGGATTGCTCTAGAGTAGAAGCTCACTGTCTAACATAGGAGAGAGGTATTGGGAAGTCATTGTAAACATGTTATACACAGTTTGTGGTATAAAGAGATAACACAGCCCCAGGGCAGGCACAGTGCCTCTGACTGTCCTGCTGAGTGGACCTCGGCTGGACAGGAGAAAAATTTTTATAGATAGGACACAATAAACAACTCTGAGACCGAGAACTGAAGAACTCCGACTCATTCTTCGAACGCGCGGGCCGAAACAGAGACTGTTCACAAACCTTGGGGCTGCGATGAACTGCAAACTCCCGGGAGCCAGGGCGCTGCTGTCACCTGCTCTGCGGGTACCGGCGGCCGCCGCCCCTGCCCCGCCTCTCCCCGCCCGCACCGGCGCCTCCGCAGGAAAGAATAACAAAAACAACAAAGTTCCCTTTCAAAAGCCACTTGGAGCCAGCCCATCCCCGCGCCCAGGGGACGGGCACGGGCAGACACGGGCACGGACAAAAAATGCTCTTTATTCCGGCTGGGAGAGATTGCACAACTCTGATCTCTGTGGGAAAGGCACTATCAGGTGTCCTGTGCCTGACTCGTGGTTCCTGGGAAAAAGGGATGGGCCAGGCTCTTCCTGGTGCTCAGGACACCTGGCCTGTGGCACGGTGCGGGAGGGAGAGAATCTGGGGGGGCTGGGGGGGTTCCAGGGCTGCAGGGATGGTGCAGGGCTGCAGGGATGGTGCCAGGGTCACTGGGGTGGTGCCAGGGCTGCAGGGATGGTGCCAGGGTCACTGGGGTGGTGTCAAGGTCACTGGGGTGGTGCCAGGGCTGCAGGGATGGTGCCAGGGTCACTGTGGTAGTGCCAGAGATGCAGGGATGGTGTCAGGGTCACTGGGATGGCACCAGGGCTGCAGGGATGGTGCCAGGGTCACTGGGGTGGTGCCAGGGCTGCAGGGATGGTACCAGGGTCACTGTGATGGTGCCAGAGATGCAGGGATGGTGCCAGGGTCACTGGGATGGTGCCAGGGCTGCAGGGATGGTGCCAGGGCTGCAGGGATGGTGCAGCAGCCACAGGGACACTGTGCTGGCCCTGTCCTTGAGAGTGTCCCAAACCGTGTCCCAGTGCAGCAGCCACAGGGACACCACACTGGCCATGCCCTTCAGGGTGTCCCAAACTGTGTCCCCATGCAGCAGCCTTGGGGACACCACGCTGGCCCTTCAGAGTGTCCCAAACTGTGTCCCAGTGCAGCAGCCATGGGGACACCACGCTGGCCCTGCCCTTGTCCCAAACCATGTCCCAGTGCAGCAGCCACGGGGACACCGTGCTGGCCCTGTCCTTGTCCCAAACTGTGTCCCCGTGCAGCAGCCACGGGGACACCGTGCTGGCCCTGGCACAGTGGGATGTTACAGACAAACCCCGGGAACCCGGCGCTCCCTGTTCCTCTTTGCCTCTGTGGCAGGGAGAATTGGGTTTCCAGGATGAGAAAACTCCCGGGAGGTGTTGTTGTGGGTTTCCAGTAGCTAAAGGGGGCTGTAAGGCTGATGGAGAGGGACAAAGGCCTGGAGTGACAGGACAAGGGGGAATTGTGGAGATTCTCAGTTCAGTCGGAGAAAGAACAGAAACAATTTCTCCCGGGCTGGGCTGGGGAATCTTAGATGAAAGAATTCAAACAATTATCATCTCTCTTTCTGTAACCATTGTTTATGGATATGGTTCCTCACAGTGTGCTATTCAAAGTCACCAATAATGTGAGAATTTTTCTACTTTGACACCAATCTGGTCCCACTTAGTGAGTGAGACTATAAAACTCACTGCTTCTTGCTAACAAAGATTCTTCTTGAGCCTTCTGATCTACCTGAAGCCTGGAGCCTTTCTATCCATCCCTGACTCGACAGCATCAGGGAATGGCTTCAAATTGGAGGAGCGTAGGTGTGGGTTAGATGTTGGAAGGAATTGTTCCCTATGAGGGTGTGAGGCCCTGGCACAGGGTGCCCACAGCGGCTGTGGCTGCCCCTGGATCCCTGGCAGTGCCCAAGGCCAGGTTGGGCAGGGCTTGGAGCAGCCTGGGACAGTGGAAGGTGTCCCTGCCATGGCAGGGGGTGGCACGAGGAGGCCCCTTCCCACCCAAACCATTCCATGGTCCTGTGACTTCTCTCCCATCAGTTTATTCCCTCCTTTTCTGAGACCACGCAATTCTCTGGGCCCCACAGCTCCTCTACGCTTGTTCCCAGGTACCAGCTGCACAAGCTTGTGGCCAAAAGTCCATTTTCCAGGACATTACCGGGTTAATTAAGGCAAACACCCCAAGGCAGCACATTTAAGGAGGGTAAGTTTCCTCCCATTAAACAGCAGTAGAATTATTCATCCCTGAACTGCACGGGAGAGTGGCTCCAGGGCTGTTCCTCTGCTCTGGCATGTGGCTGAGTCAGCTCAGGACACAGGAGGGCAAAAGGAGCAGGAAGGAACGGAGGCGCCCGTGTGGATGGACAGACTGAAAGCACAGCACAGCCACGTCCACTTCCAGCTCCCGTGAGAGGATCCATCCCCACAGAGGCTTCACAGAGGGAGGGAAAGCACAGAGAGAGACCAAGCCACGCTGGGCTGAGGCTGTTTGTGCTCCAGACAGCCCCGGAAAGGCAGGACAGGCTGGGGCACGGAGAGCAAAAACACAGATGATGTGTCCCACGCCAGCGACACGCCAAGCAAGCCCGGCATCCTGCCCACGCAGAAATCTGCTCTGCACGCTGTCCTGGCTTGAAAACCTGCAAACGGAATGCAATCCTGCAAAGATTCTGGGGAAAATAGCTGGAACATGCAGGAAAATAGGGGCAGAGAATAAAAATACGACTCGCAGCAGCACCTGAACAGAACAAAGACCTGCAGTTAAACCTGAGTGGGGAAAATGAGGATGACACGCTTCACCAAAATGTCCTGAGATAACCCAGGCTGCCTGCTCTGTTCCTGAAAGGCAGCTAAGGAAGGATGAACAATGCAGTGCAGCAACACTGCTCAGGGGGAGGCACTTCAAACTGTACCTGATGGGGGTGGGGGGTGGCAGAGAGAAGAGATCAGGAAGGAAATTCCCTCACTGGGATGATAAATGCTAAAAAAATATTTAGGAAAAGAAAGACAAACACCAGCAGCAAAAGAATTATTCACAAAAGTAACATTCCTCCGCAAGGCAAAAACAAGGAAAAAAATCAAAAAGGTTTTGCAATTATTTTCTAACAATATTGAGGAAATAAAGGCCCGTGTCCGGGTCGGGCACGCAGCGGCGCAGCAGCTGCAGGTAGGTCAGGTTCTCGTGCGTGTTGGGGTCAAAGAAGCCCTTGGTGTCGTCGCCGGGGTCGGACAGGATCTGGCTCATCTCCTGGTCGAAGTAGCCACGCTTGTAGGCCACCTCCACGGGCAGGCGGTGGCTGTGCACGGGGTCGATGATGCCGCCGGTGGCGATCTGGGCCTCCAGCAGGCGGATGCCGTGGTCCCTGACGATCAGCTCCTTCTTCATGGCCTGGAACAGGGAGATCTTGTCCCCCGTGTAGGGGTCGGAGTAGCCCGTCACGGCCCTCTCCGCCGACAGCAGCTTCTCGTGCAGCTCGCTGCCCACCAGCCCAGAGGACACGGCCTCGTCCACGGAGAGCTTCTGGTTCTTGACCGGGTCCACCAGGAAGCCGGTGGCCGCCTGGGCCTCCAGCAGCACCAGCGCCGTGCCCTGCCTCAGGATGCCCTTCCACATGGCCTGGTAGATGCTCATCTTCTCCATCTTGCTTGGGTCGGCCTTGGAGGGCACCAGCACGCCGGCGATGACGCCCGTGCCATCCAGGTAGCGCTTGACCGAGGCCATCTGCGTCACCTCCTGCACCGTCCTGGCGCCCTGCACCAGCTCGGCCAGCGTGCCCGTGTCGATGATGCCCGAGTCCAGCAGGTCCGAGGCACTCACCTGCCTCCTGAGGCCCGTGAATTTCACGCTGCTGCCGCGCTGCGCCGCCTCCTCCACCAGGAGGGTGAGCAGCGTGGCCAGCTCGGCCAGCGCCAAGCTCCCGGCCCGCAGCCGCCCCAGCAGCTCCTGGCGCTTGGCCTCTGACACCCACTTGGAGAAGAGCAGCTCCCACAGGGACACCTTCCTGCCGTGGAAGCCGCCTGCCGAGACCTCCACCATCTGGGACTTGAGGGACCGCTCCAGCTCCTGCTCCTGTTCCTGTTTCTGTTTCTCTTCCTTCTGGGAGTTTGAGGCGCTGCCGTTCTGGATGGGTTCAGGCAGGATCTCCTTTTCTGTGGACTTGGGGGCCCCGTTGGCACCGTGGCCCTGGGCCTCAGCCCTGGTGACGATGGCCATGAGGAGGTCGATCATCTGCGCAATGGTGACTGTCCCCGCCTTGTACTGGCGCAGGAGCTCCTGTCGCTGGTGCTCAGGGACGTAGCGGGAGAAGAGGAGCTCCCAGACGGTGACGCTCTGGCCCTGGAAGAGCCCCACGGCCAGCGTGGTGCGGGCGGCCTGCAGGGCTCTGCGGGCATCCTCGCTCAGCTGGTAGAGCACGGAGCCCTTGTCCATCAGCTGCAGCATCAGCAGCCCCGTGTCCGGGTCGGGCACGCAGCGGCGCAGCAGCTGCAGGTAGGTCAGGTTCTCGTGCGTGTTGGGGTCAAAGAAGCCCTTGGTGTCATCGCCGGGGTTGGACAGGATCTGGCTCATCTCCTGGTCGAAGTAGCCACGCTTGTAGGCCACCTCCACGGGCAGGCGGTGGCTGTGCACGGGGTCGATGATGCCGCCGGTGGCGATCTGGGCCTCCAGCAGGCGGATGCCGTGGTCCCTGACGATCAGCTCCTTCTTCATGGCCTGGAACAGGGAGATCTTGTCCCCCGTGTAGGGGTCAGAGTAGCCCGTCACGGCCCTCTCCGCCGACAGCAGCTTCTCGTGCAGCTCGCTGCCCACCAGCCCAGAGGACACGGCCTCGTCCACGGAGAGCTTCTGGTTCTTGACCGGGTCCACCAGGAAGCCGGTGGCCGCCTGGGCTTCCAGCAGCACCAGCGCCGTGCCCTGCCTCAGGATGCCCTTCCACATGGCCTGGTAGATGCTCATCTTCTCCATCTTGCTTGGGTCGGCCTTGGAGGGCACCAGCACGCCGGCGATGACGCCCGTGCCATCCAGGTAGCGCTTGACCGAGGCCATCTGCGTCACCTCCTGCACCGTCCTGGCGCCCTGCACCAGCTCGGCCAGCGTGCCCGTGTCGATGATGCCCGAGTCCAGCAGGTCCGAGGCACTCACCTGCCTCCTGAGGCCCGTGAATTTCACGCTGCTGCCGCGCTGCGCTGCCTCCTCCACCAGGAGGGTGAGCAGCGTGGCCAGCTCGGCCAGCGCCAAGCTCCCGGCCCACAGCCGCCCCAGCAGCTCCTGGCGCTTGGCCTCTGACACCCACTTGGAGAAGAGCAGCTCCCACAGGGACACCTTCCTGCCGTGGAAGCCGCCTGCCGAGACCTCCACCGTCTGGGACTTGAGGGACCGCTCCAGCTCCTGCTCTTGCTCCTGCTCCTGTTCCTGTTTCTGTTCCTGTTCCTTCTGGGAGTTTGAGGCGCTGCCGTTCTGGATGGGTTCAGGCAGGATCTCCTTTTCTGTGGACTTGGGGGCCCCGTTGGCACCGTGGCCCTGGGCCTCAGCCCTGGTGACGATGGCCGTGAGGAGGTCGATCATCTGCGCAATGGTGACTGTCCCCGCCTTGTACTGGCGCAGGAGCTCCTGGCGCCGGTGCTCAGGGACGTAGCGGGAGAAGAGGAGCTCCCAGACGGTGACGCTCTGGCCCTGGAAGAGCCCCACGGCCAGCGTGGTGCGGGCGGCCTGCAGGGCTCTGCGGGCATCCTCGCTCAGCTGGTAGAGCGCGGAGCCCTTGTCCATCAGCTGCAGCATCAGCAGCCCCGTGTCCGGGTCGGGCACGCAGCGGCGCAGCAGCTGCAGGTAGGTCAGGTTCTCGTGCGTGTTGGGGTCAAAGAAGCCCTTGGTGTCGTCACCGGGGTCGGACAGGATCTGGCTCATCTCCTGGTCGAAGTAGCCACGCTTGTAGGCCACCTCCACGGGCAGGCGGTGGCTGTGCACGGGGTCGATGATGCCGCCGGTGGCGATCTGGGCCTCCAGCAGGCGGATGCCGTGGTCCCTGACGATCAGCTCCTTCTTCATGGCCTGGAACAGGGAGATCTTGTCCCCCGTGTAGGGGTCGGAGTAGCCCGTCACGGCCCTCTCCGCCGACAGCAGCTTCTCGTGCAGCTCGCTGCCCACCAGCCCAGAGGACACGGCCTCGTCCACGGAGAGCTTCTGGTTCTTGACCGGGTCCACCAGGAAGCCGGTGGCCGCCTGGGCCTCCAGCAGCACCAGCGCCGTGCCCTGCCTCAGGATGCCCTTCCACATGGCCTGGTAGATGCTCATCTTCTCCATCTTGCTTGGGTCGGCCTTGGAGGGCACCAGCACGCCGGCGATGACGCCCGTGCCGTCCAGGTAGCGCTTGACCGAGGCCATCTGCGTCACCTCCTGCACCGTCCTGGCGCCCTGCACCAGCTCGGCCAGCGTGCCCGTGTCGATGATGCCCGAGTCCAGCAGGTCCGAGGCGCTCACCTGCCTCCTGAGGCCCGTGAATTTCACGCTGCTGCCGCGCTGCGCCGCCTCCTCCACCAGGAGGGTGAGCAGCGTGGCCAGCTCGGCCAGCGCCAAGCTCCCGGCCCGCAGCCGCCCCAGCAGCTCCTGGCGCTTGGCCTCTGACACCCACTTGGAGAAGAGCAGCTCCCACAGGGACACCTTCCTGCCGTGGAAGCCGCCTGCCGAGACCTCCACCGTCTGGGACTTGAGGGACTGCTCCAGCTCCTGCTCCTGTTCCTGTTTCTGTTTCTGTTTCTGTTCCTGTTCCTTCTGGGAGTTTGAGGCGCTGCCGTTCTGGATGGGTTCAGGCAGGATCTCCATTTCTGTGGACTTGGGGGCCCCGTTGGCACCGTGGCCCTGGGCCTCAGCCCTGGTGACGATGGCCGTGAGGAGGTCGATCATCTGCGCAATGGTGACTGTCCCCGCCTTGTACTGGCGCAGGAGCTCCTGGCGCCGGTGCTCAGGGACGTAGCGGGAGAAGAGGAGCTCCCAGACGGTGACGCTCTGGCCCTGGAAGAGCCCCACGGCCAGCGTGGTGCGGGCGGCCTGCAGGGCTCTGCGGGCATCCTCGCTCAGCTGGTAGAGCGCGGAGCCCTTGTCCATCAGCTGCAGCATCAGCAGCCCCGTGTCCGGGTCGGGCACGCAGCGGCGCAGCAGCTGCAGGTAGGTCAGGTTCTCGTGCGTGTTGGGGTCGAAGAAGCCCTTGGTGTCGTCACCGGGGTCGGACAGGATCTGGCTCATCTCCTGGTCGAAGTAGCCACGCTTGTAGGCCACCTCCACGGGCAGGCGGTGGCTGTGCACGGGGTCGATGATGCCGCCGGTGGCGATCTGGGCCTCCAGCAGGCGGATGCCGTGGTCCCTGACGATCAGCTCCTTCTTCATGGCCTGGAACAGGGAGATCTTGTCCCCCGTGTAGGGGTCGGAGTAGCCCGTCACGGCCCTCTCCGCCGACAGCAGCTTCTCGTGCAGCTCGCTGCCCACCAGCCCAGAGGACACGGCCTCGTCCACGGAGAGCTTCTGGTTCTTGACCGGGTCCACCAGGAAGCCGGTGGCCGCCTGGGCCTCCAGCAGCACCAGCGCCGTGCCCTGCCTCAGGATGCCCTTCCACATGGCCTGGTAGATGCTCATCTTCTCCATCTTGCTTGGGTCGGCCTTGGAGGGCACCAGCACGCCGGCGATGACGCCCGTGCCGTCCAGGTAGCGCTTGACCGAGGCCATCTGCGTCACCTCCTGCACCGTCCTGGCGCCCTGCACCAGCTCGGCCAGCGTGCCCGTGTCGATGATGCCCGAGTCCAGCAGGTCCGAGGCACTCACCTGCCTCCTGAGGCCCGTGAATTTCACGCTGCTGCCGCGCTGCGCCGCCTCCTCCACCAGGAGGGTGAGCAGCGTGGCCAGCTCAGCCAGCGCCAAGCTCCTGGCCCGCAGCCGCCCCAGCAGCTCCTGGCGCTTGACCTCTGACACCCACTTGGAGAAGAGCAGCTCCCACAGAGACACCTTCCGGCCGTGGAAGCCGCCTGCTGAGACCTCCACCGTCTGGGATTTGAGGGACCGCTCCAGCTCCTGCTCTTGCTCCTGCGCCTGTTCCTGTTTCTGTTCCTGTTCCTTCTGGGAGTTTGAGGCGCTGCCGTTCTGGATGGGTTCAGGCAGGATCTCCATTTCTGTGGACTTGGGGGCCCCGTTGGCACTGTGGCCCTGGGCCTCAGCCCTGGTGACAATGGCCGTGAGGAGGTCGATCATCTGCGCAATGGTGACTGTCCCCGCCTTGTACTGGCGCAGGAGCTCCTGGCGCCGGTGCTCAGGGACGTAGCGGGAGAAGAGGAGCTCCCAGACAGTGACGCTCTGGCCCTGGAAGAGCCCCACAGCCAGCGTGGTGCGGGCGGCCTGCAGGGCTCTGCGGGCATCCTCGCTCAGCTGGTAGAGCGCGGAGCCCTTGTCCATCAGCTGCAGCATCAGCAGCCCCGTGTCCGGGTCGGGCACGCAGCGGCGCAGCAGCTGCAGGTAGGTCAGGTTCTCGTGCGTGTTGGGGTCGAAGAAGCCCTTGGTGTCGTCGCCGGGGTCGGACAGGATCTGGCTCATCTCCTGGTCGAAGTAGCCACGCTTGTAGGCCACCTCCACGGGCAGGCGGTGGCTGTGCACGGGGTCGATGATGCCGCCGGTGGCGATCTGGGCCTCCAGCAGGCGGATGCCGTGGTCCCTGACGATAAGATCCTGCTTCATGGCCTGGAACAGACTCATCTTTTGTCCCGTGTAGGGGTGGGTGTAGCCCGTCACAGCTCTCTCAGCGCTTAGAAGTTTGTTTTTCAGTTCGCTGCCCACCAGCCCAGAGGACACGGCCTCGTCCACTGAGAGCTTCTGGTTGTTCACTGGATCAACAATGAAGCCGGTGGCCGCCTGGGCCTCCAGCAGCACCAGCGCCGTGCCCTGCCTCAGGATGCCCTTCCACATGGCCTGGTAGATGCTCATCTTCTCCATCTTGCCTGGCTCAGTCTTGGAGGGCACCAGCACGCCAGCGATGCTTCCAGTTCCCTCAAGGTACCTCCTCACACTGTCCATTTTTGCTATTTCTTGTGCTGTCTCTTTTCCTTTCTGGAGTTTTTCTATTGTTTCCTCTGTAATTATTTGTGCACTGAGCAGTTCTGATGCTGTGATCTGCTGTCGGATTCCCTGGAACCAGACATCGCTTCTGTCCTCTTCTTTTTCCCTGATGATCTTTAGTATTGTCTCAATGATTCCCTGCACAATGTGTTGCGATTCCACCTTGTACTTTTTCACCAGTTCTTTTCTCTTCTCCTCTGTGATGTACTCGGAGCAGAGGAGCTCCCACAGCGATAACACCTGTCCCTTGTATTTCCCCACAGGCACCTGGACCTTGGTGCACAACAGGGCGTTTTTGGTTTGCTCATCAATGTAGAAATAGTCGCCTTCCTTTTCCAGGACCTGCAGCAGGTACAAGCCGCTCTCCCTGTCCTTGGCACACCTCTGCAGGAGCTGGCTGTAACTGATCTTCTCGCGAGTGTTGGGATCTATGAAGCCTTTGCTGCCGTGATCTGGATCCGAAAGCAGGAGGAACGTGTCCTCGTCCAGGTGCCCACGCTTGTAGGCCACCTCCAGGGGCAGGCGGTGGCCATGCCAGGGGTCAACGATGCCACCAGTGGCGAGCTGGGCCTCGAGCAGGCGGATGCCCTGATCCCTGACTATTACCTTCTGTCTCACAGCCTGGAAGAGAGATATTTTATTTCCTGTTTGGGGGTCTGTGTATCCCGTCACGGCTTTCTCTGCCGACAGCAGCTGCTCGCGCAGCTCGCTGCCCACCAGCCCAGAGGACACAGCCTCGTCCACAGAGAGCTTCTGGTGGCTCCGGGGGTCCAGCAGGAAGCCGGTGGCCGCCTGTGCCTCCAGCAGCCCCAGGGCACACTGCTCTGTGAGGAGGCCTTTCTTCAGGGCCTGGTAGATGCTCATCACCTCTTTTCTCAGCGGGAGGAGAACCCCGGCGATGCACCCGGTGCCGTCCAGGTACCTTTGGATGGTGTCCCTCTTTGTGAGGCTGGCAAGGGTGAGACTCCCGTCCTGCAGCTGATCCAGAGTTTTCTTGTCAATTATCTCAGAGTTGAACAACTCTGACACCGACACCTCGCCCCGCAGTCCTTTGACCTTGAGGGCTTCTCCTCTTCGCTCTGTGTCCTCGATGATTTTTAAGATGAGGGATATCAGCTCTTCCAGCGCTAGGTTTTTGCTTTTGTACTGCATCACCAGCTCTTTCCTCTTCTGCTCCGAGAAGTAGTGAGAGCAGAGAACTTCCCAGACAGAAACGGTTTGGTCCTTAAACTTTCCAACTTTCACTTGAAGGGGCTTTGAGCGCAAAGCCTGCTTTGTGGACTCATCAATGTAGAAATACTTTCCTCCCTCCTTTACAACCTGCAGCATGTACAGCCCCGTGTCCGGGTCTTGGACGCATCTCTCCAGGAGCTGCATATACGTGAGGTTCTCGTGCGTGTTAGGGTCGAAGAAGCCCTTGGTGTCATCACTGGGGTCTGAGAGGATCTGGTTCATCTCCTGGTTGAAGTAGCCGCGCTTGTAGGCCACCTCCACGGGGACACGGTGGCTGTGCACGGGGTCGATGATGCCGCCGGTGGCGATCTGGGCCTCCAGCAGGCGGATGCCGTGGCTCTTCACAATCAGCCCTTGGTTCATGGCTTCAAACAGGGACATGGGGGCTTTGGTGTAGGGGTCTGTGTAGCCCGTCACGGCTCTCTCTGCACAGAGCAGCTTTTCAAAAATCTCCCCTCCAATCAGACCCGCCTCCAACGCTTCCTCCACCGAAAACTTCTTGTTTTTCTCAGGGTCGATGATGTAGCCGGTGGCTGCCTGTGCCTCCAGCAGCACCAGGGCGGTCCCTGGCCTCAGGATGCCCTTCCACATGGCCTGGTAGATGCTCATCTTCTCATTGCTTGGCTGGATAAGGACCCCTGCTATGAAATTACTGCCCTCCAGGTACCTGCGGACGGACTCCATTTCAGTCACTTCCTTGACTGTTTTCTTCCCCTGGTTGAGCTCATCGAGGGTTTTTTTGTCGATCAGCTGGGACTGGAAGAGGTCACTGGCGGAAACTCTTTTCCTCAGGCCCTTGAATGCGAACTTCTTGCCTTTTGCCTCAGTCTCTTGGATGATTGTGGTGATAATTGTGGTGATTTCCTGCAGCACTTCAGCCTTCTCATCCTTGTACTTTTGCACCAGCTCTCTTCTCTGGCTGTCTGAGAAGTACTCAGAGTTGAGGAGGTCCCAGACAGACACGGTCTGTCCTTTGAACCGCCCCACGTTGACACAAACAGTCACAGATTTCAGCACTTTCATGGTCTGTTCGTCCACGCAGAACATCGCGTTTTCCGACAGAGGGAGGAGCCACAGACCCGACTCAGCATCACGAACGCACCGATCCTTCAGCTGCTGGTAGGTCACGTTCTCCTTGGTGTTTGGGTCAAAAAAGCTCTTGGTGCTGTCATCCAGCTGGGAGAGGGTTTGGTTCAGGTCCTCGTCGTAGAAGCCGTACCTGCAGGCAGCCTGGAGCGGCAGGTGGAGGTGGTGGATGGGATCAACCACCCCTCCTGTGGCCAGCTGGGCCTCCAGCAAGGGCACGGCCTCTGCCAGGGGGACGAGCTCCTTTCTGAGCGCTTGGCACAGGGAGATGGAGCCCCCGGTGTAGGGGTCTGTGTAGCCCGTCACAGCCCTCTCAGCCTGGAGGAGTTTCTCAGACAGCTCCTCTCCAACAACGGCCGCTCTCACGGCGTCTCTCACGCTGAGCCTCCGGTTTGTGGCAGGGTCAGTCAGGTACCCTGTGGCTGCCTGAGCCTCCAGCAGCCTCAGAGCAGCCCCAGGGAGGAGGAGGTTGTTTTTCATGGCTTCATAGAAGCTCATCTTCTGTTTGGATGCCTCTATGAAGACCCCAGCAATGCTGCCCGTGCCCTTCAAGTACCTCTTTACGCTCTCCATTTCAGCCACTTCTTCGGGAGTCCTTACACCCTGAGCCAGTTCTTCAAACGTCTTCTGGGAAATGATGCCGGTGTCCAGCAGCCAGACCACAGGGACACTGCCCCTCAGGCCTTCCAGGGAGATCTGGGTCCTGGCTTTCATCTCCATCTCCCCCACCAGCCTGAGCACCAGAGCCACCAGCTGCTCCAGCGACAGCTCCTCCGACCGGAACCTCTCCATGAAATCTCTCCTCTGCTCCTCGGTGAAATACCCCGAGTGCACGAGCTCCCAGAGGGAGACTCCTTTTTCCTTCACCATGGTTTCCTTGAAGATCCGTTGGATTTGCTCGTCGGTGTAGGCAGGAGCAGCTGCCTGTGCCAGAGGCAGCAAGTGGAAGCCAGAGACGTCGTCCTTCTGGCAGTGCTGGATGAGCTCGGCATAGGTCACGCTCTCTCTGCTGTCCGGGAGGCAGAACACTCTGTGGTCACCGCTGGGCTTGGAGAGGGCCTTGCTGGTGTCCTCATCCAGGCAGCCTCGCTGCTGGGCCGCCTCCAGGGGGATGTGGTGGCCGCACGTTGGGTCGATGATGCCTCCCGTGGCCATCTGCACCTCCATCAGCTGCATGGCCTGCTTGTCCGCGATCAGCCCCTTCTTCATGGCCTGGAAAAGAGGGATCTTCTTGCCCGTGAAAGGATCTTTATAGCCCGTCACGGCCCCCTCCGCCTGCTGCAGCTTCTCGTGGACATCTGGCCCAATGACTCCCTCCTTGACGGCCTCATCCACGCAGAGCTTCTGGTTGTTCACGGGGTCAATAATGAAGCCTGTGGCAGCCTGGGCCTCCAACAGGGGCAGGGCCACTCCTGGCACCACGATGTTCTGCTTCATGGCCTCATAAATGCTCATTCTCTGGTTGGACGGCTGGAGCACAATCCCCCCGATGCTGCCTGAGCCGTAGAGGTACTTCCTGACAGAGTCCATGTGCAGGACTTGTTCTGGGGTGACCGACCCCTCCAGCACCTGCTCAAACAGGGCCCTGTCGATGACACCGGTTTCCATCAGGTGGTAAGCGCTGACGTTGCCTCTCATGGCCGGGAACTTGATGGGGGCCCATTTCTTCATCTCCTCCTCCAGCATCAGCCGGATTTGCTCCAGGCTGAGCTTCCTCAGCTGGAAGTGGTTGAAAATCTCCCGGCGCCTGCCCTCGCTGAAGTACTCGGAGTTCAGCAGGTCCCACACCGAGACCTTCTCCCCCCGCAAGCGCCCAAACCTGACGGGCAGCCAGGAGCTCCTGAACACCTGCCTTGTGGCCTCGTCCACGAACTGCCTCTTCCTGCTGTTCAGAGGGAGGAGGCAGAGCCCTGTGGAGGGCTCGGTGATGCATTTCTCCTTCAGCTGCAGGTAGGTCAGGTTCTCGTGCGTGTTGGGGTCAAAAAAGCCCTTGGTGTCGTCGCTGGGGTCTGAGAGGATTAAATTCATCTTCTTGTCGAAGTAGCCACGCTTGTAGGCCACCTCCACGGGGATACGGTGGCTGTTGACGGGGTCGATGATGCCGCCGGTGGCGATCTGGGCCTCCAGCAGGCGGATGCCGTGGTCCCTGACAATCAGCTCCTTCTGCATGGCCTGGAACAGGGAGATCTTAGCCCCTGAGTAAGGATCTCGGTAGCCAGTGACAGATTTCTCCGCAGCCAGCAGCTTCTCGTACACATCCGGGCCGATGACATTTGCTCGTAAAGCCTCGTCCACGGAGTACCTCTTGTTGGCAGTGGGGTCGATGACAAACCCCGTGGCAGCCTGTGCCTCCAGGAGAATCAGAGACGTTCCTGGCCTGAGGAGTCCCTTGCGCTTTGCCTGGTAGATGCTGATCTTCTCCTGGGAGTCGGGGAGTAGCAGCCCCCCGATGCTGCCCGTGCCCTGCAGGTACTTCCTGACGGTGTCCATGCCCACCACCTCCTTGGCCGACGTTTCTCCCTCCTTGAGTTTCTTGAACAAGTCTTTGTTGATAATTTCTGAGCTCAGAAGCTGGTCAGCCGTCACCTGCTCCCTCAGGCCCTTGAAGGTGACGTTAGCAGTGGCAGCATTTTCCTCAACGGCGGCTCTGACGGCCTCTCCCAGGCCTTGCAGGGAGAGCGCTCCTGCCAGGAACTGCTGAGCCAGCGCAGCCCTTTGCTCGCCCTGGATGTAGTCAGAGAAGAGCAGTTTCCACAGGGACACCGGCTTGCCCTTGAATTTCCCCACAGCAACAGGCACCTGCGTGTTTTCCAGAGCCGTCTGGGTCCTGTGGTCAAGGAAGCCGAGTGTCCCCTGGGACCCTTCGCCGCTGTCCCCAGGGAGTGGCAGTAGCAGCAGCCCCGTGCTGGGGTCGGTGACGCAGCGCTGGAGCAGCTCTGCATAACTCAGCTTCTCCTTGGAGCCGGGGTCAAAGAACCCCTTCATGTCACCGGGAGGGCTGGACAGGAGCTGCCTGGTGGCCTCGTCCAGGTACCCCCACTCGCAGGCTGTCTCCATGGGGACGCGGAGGTGCCTGCCCGGGGCGATGACACCGCCCGTGGCCAGCTGAGCCTCCAGGAGGCAGAGGCCATGGTCCCTGGGAACAAAGCCCTTCCCCATGGCTTGGAACAGGGAGAGCATTTCTCCAGTGGACGGGTCCCTGTACCCAGTGATGGCTTTCTCAGCTGAGGACAGCTTCTCGTAAAGCTCTGGGCCAATGAGGCCAACCCTGACAGCCTCGTCCACGGAGTAGCTTTTATTCTTCAGGGGGTCTGTCAGGCTGCCCATGGAGGCCTGGACTTGCAGGAGCACGAGAGCAGCACCAGGCACCAGGAGATGCTCCCTCAGTGCCTGGTAAAGGCTCTTCTGCTCCCCAGAAGGCAGGACAACCCCAGCCACACTCCTCGTCCCACGCAGGAAGTGCTGGACAATGTCATTCTCTGCCACCTCCTGGGCAGAGATTCTTCCCTCCTCAAGGCCCTGGAACACGTCGGAGCTGATGATGCCAGAGTCCATCAGGTCCCTGCTGCTCACCCTCCCTCCCAGCCCCGGGAATGTGACCTGCAGCGGCAGGAGCAGGAAGCCTGAGGCCGGATCCACGACGCACCTCTTCCTCAGCTCCGAGTAGGTGACCTTCTCCATGGTGCTGGGGTCAAGGAACACCCTGCTGTCCTCACTGCCGGGGCCGGAGGCGAGCTGGCTCATCTCCTCGTCCAGATACCCCCTCTCACAGGCCAGCCCTGCCGGGAGCCGCCCGCCGGTGGCCGGGTCGATGACGCCTCCGGTCGCCAGCTGGGCCTGGAGCAGGCGGATGCCCTGCTCCCTCCCCACCAGCTCCTTCTGCATGGCCTGGTAGAGGGAGATTTTCTCGTCAGTGTAGGGGTCCAGGAAGCCAGTAGCAGCCCTGTCAGCCGAGAGTAGCCTCTCCTTCAGCTCCAGCCCCACCAGCCCCGTCCTCACGGCTTCTGCCACGGGGACACGGCGGCTCCTCAGCGGGTCGGAGATGGAGCCCGTGGCTGCCTGCGCCTCCAGGAGGCTCAGGGCTGAATCCAGGCTCAGCAGATGCTCTCTGGTGGCCTCATAGAAGCTCATTATCCTCTTTGAAGCCTCTACATACACGCCTGCAATGCTGCCGGCCGTCTCCGAGGGCTCCCCAGGAGCATCCAGCCCTGCGTCCCTGCCAGCTGCCTTTTGCTGCTTGCGCGGCATCGCGCCCTGGCACAAGTGGTTTGTCCCCGACACGGCTTCCCCGGGGACAGCCTGGCCATTCACTGCTGGCTTGCTCTCCATCCTGCTGCTGCACGCCTCCCACAGCTCCCAGGACTCTGCAGAGAGAGGGAAAGCGCGGTGAGAAATCAGCTTCTTCACGGTTTGCGTGTCAAATACCGGGAAATCAGAAACGTAAATGTCCTCAGGCAGGAGGAAGTGACAGCCAAAGACTGGGCATGTCCAAACCTGGTGTGCCACCCTGAGGGACCCGGCCAGACTCAGGGAGTCCGTGGGTGAGAAGCTCCACATGCCCCAGCCACATGCACCGGAACCCCCAAACCCTGCGCCCTGGGCTGGGCCCCCAGCAGGAAAGGAAGGGGGGATTCTGCCCCTCTGCCCCTGGGCTCAGGTGAGACCTCACCTGCAGAGCTGCCCCAGCCCTGGGGACACAGCAGCAGCACCTGGAGCTGCTGGAGAGAGCCCAGAGGAGGCCACGGAGCTGCTGCAGGGCTGGAGCCCCTCTGGAGCCAGGCTGGGAGAGATGGGGGTGCTCACCTGGAGAGGAGAAGGCTCCAGGGAGAACTCAGAGCCCCTGGCAGGGCCTAAAGGGGCTCCAGGAGAGCTGGAGAGGGACTGGGGACACGGGCCTGGAGTGACAGGACAAGGGGAATGGCTCCTACTGCCAGAGGACAGGGCTGGATGGGATTTTGGGAAGAAATCCTTCCCTGTGAGGGTGGGGAGGCCCTGGCACAGAGAGCCCAGAGCAGCTGGGGCTGCCCCTGGATCCCTGGAGATTTTCCAGGCCAGGCTGGATGGGGCTTGGAGCAGCCTGGGACAGTGGAAGGTGTCCCTGCCATGGGACACGGTGGGGCTGGGCTGGCTCTGAGGTCCCTCTCCACCCAAACCGTTCCACGATCCTGTGACTCTGGGGGTGTGTCACAGACATCTTTTATGAAAAATCCTTTCCTTGGGATTTTTTATCTCCTGAGAAGCTGAGAGGCCTCAGGAACAAAATGTAACCAATGGTTATCTGCTGCTGTGGAATGCAACAGGTGCAGCTGGGATTGGTCTCATATGGTTGTTTCTAATTAATGGCCAATCACAGCACAGCAGGCTCGGACAGAGAGTCTGAGCCACAAGCCTTTGTTATCATTCATTTCTTTTTCTATTCTTAGCCAGCCTTCTGATGAAGTCCTTTCTTCTATTCTTTTAGTATAGTTTTAATATAATATATATGATAAAATAATAAATCAGCCTTCTGAAACATGGAGTCAGATCCTCATCTCTTCCCTCATCCTCGGAGCCCTGTGAACACAGACCCCCTGTGAACCCTAACCCTAACCCTAACCCTAGCCCTAACCATAACCCTAACCCTAGCCCTAACCCTAACCCTAGCCCTAACCCTAACCCTAACCCTAACCCTAACCCTAACCCTAGCCCTAACCCTAACCCTAGCCCTAACCCTAACCCTAGCCCTAACCCTAACCCACAGGGCTGCTGCACCAACCCCCTGTCCTTCCACTGTTCCCCCCCTTCCCACCCTGCCCATAGGCAGAGAGGCTCCATCTCAGCGGGCAGTGGCCACCAGGCCACCTCCAGGGCTACCTCAGGGTGAGATGGCACCCAATGCAAACCCCCCTCCTGCTGGCAAAGCTGTGGGATGCGCTTGTGCCAGAGACCGAAACGGTTCGGTTCGTGCTGCTGTAAAGTTCCTGCTCACGAAGCACACCCCTCCCTCAGGAATGCCTGGCTGCACTGACAGGCAAAACCGCCGAGATTAGATAAAGGGAAACCCATTCCCCAGGGGAGGAGTAAACAAGTAAATCAGGAAAAGAATGCGAGCCGAGCCCAGCAGCTGCGATGGGAATCATCTCTGGCTGGCTTTGGGGTGGGTGAGGCTGCAGCCCACAGAGCCCTGTGCTGGGAGCAGGTTTGGATCCATCCCCACAGAGCACTGTGCTGGGAGCAGGTTTGGATCCATCCCCATGGGAGCCCAGGTTTGCACAGATCCATCCCACAGAGCCCTGTGCTGGGAGCAGGTTTGGATCCATCCCCACAGAGCCCTGTGCTGGGAGCAGGTTTGCACAGATCCATCCCCACAGAGCCCAGGTTTGCACAGATCCATCCCCACAGAGCCCAGGTTTGCACAGATCCATCCCCACAGAGCCCAGGTTTGCACAGATCCATCCCCACAGAGCCCAGGTTTGCACAGATCCATCCCCACAGAGCCCAGGTTTGCACAGATCCAATCCCACAGAGCCCAGGTTTGCACAGATCCATCCCCACAGAGCCCAGGTTGGCACAGATCCATCCCCAGCCCAGGTTTGCACAGATCCCATCCCCAGCCCGGGTTTGCACAGATCCATCCCCAGCCCAGGTTTGCACAGATCCATCCCCACACAGCCCAGGTTTGCACAGATCCATCTCCAGCCCAGGTTTGCACAGATCCATCCCCACACAGCCCAGGTTTGCACAGATCCCATCCCCAGCCCGGGTTTGCACAGATCCCATCCCCAGCCCAGGTTTGCACAGATCCATCCCACAGAGCCCAGGTTTGCACAGATCCATCCCCAGCCCAGGTTTGCAAAGATCCAGTCTCACAGAGCCCAGGTTTGCACAGATCCATCCCACAGAGCCCAGGTTTGCACAGACCCATCCCCAGCCCAGGTTTGCACAGATCCATCCCACAGAGCCCAGGTCTGCACAGATCCCATCCCCAGCCCAGGTCTGCACAGACCCATCCCCAGCCCACGGGAGGGCAGGCCGTTTCGCTGTGTTGTCACCTCCTCTTGGGGCAGTGAGCCCAGAGGCAGCTGAAGGGCGCCTCCATCCCTCAGTGATCCCCAAGTGCCCCCAGAGTCACTCCCGAGGCCTTGCAGCGCAGGAGCGCGGGTCACACACCCGGGGTGAGCTGTAAAACACAACGGCCCTGCCCAGGGGGTCCTACCTGGCCTGAGTGTTTCAGCCCAGCTGTGCTTTCCAGGGGGACCTTCCCCACCGAACCAGCTGGAGAGGGCATCAGCAGAGCATCGCTGGGGTCCAGGGATGGTGATGTTTTCTTTTCCAAGAAAATGTCTTTTTCTTTGTTATTCTAAATGTAGAATATTTATTCTATATTTTCTTTACTCTATGTTTTATTCTATATTTTATTTATTCTACATTTTATTCTATATTTTCTTTACTCTATGTTTTATTCTATATTTTCTTTATTCTATATTTTATTCCATATTTACTATATGTTTTATTCTATATTTTCCTTATTCTATATTTTCTTTACTATATATTTTATTCTATATTTTCTTTATTCTATATTTTCTTTCCTATATATTTTATTCTATATTTTCTTTATTCTACATTTTATTCTATATTTTCTTTACTATATATTTTATTCTATATTTTCTTTATTCTATATTTTATTATTATATTTTCTTTATATTTTTTTATTTATTCTGCCACTGTCACACTCTTTTCAATTTTCCATTTCTTCCTCCCTCTCTTTCCCGTATGTTTGCTCTCAGGTAAAACCCATACTACTGACTTTGGCGCAGGGTCTCGTTTGCACCTAAATTCGGGCAGAGGCCTCCCTGATAACCCCAATAACTGGACCCTGACCGCTGGATCCGCCCCAGCCGCGGCGCCGTGAGCACGGGCAGGTGGGAGCGGAGCGGGGCCGAGCCGCGGAAGCTGCGGGGCTCGGGAGCCTCCGTGCCCGCATTCCCCGCGCCGGCAGCCGGCGGGAGCACGGCCTGGAGGGGCCGGTGGGGTGGCTGATTCCCCGGGAACCTCATGGCCCGGGTGCCCAGCGGGGTCTGTCGGGGCTGCACTAGCCCCAGGGCGGCGGGGGAGCCCCCGGGCCGAGCACCGAGCGCTGCGGGCACCAAGGAGCGGCTCCTGCAGCCGAGCAGGGGCGTCACGGTGCTGCCCCTGGCACGGCCGGACCCGGCTGCAAGGACACAGCCAGGGCAGGGCTGCCCCGAGGTGTCCCCCGCACAGAACCGCAGCTCTGTGCCTCCCGCACAGGCCACATCCAGCGGGGACAGCGCGGGGACAGCGCGGGGACAGCGCGGGGCAGCTCTGCCCCATTGCCTGGAGCCCACAGACCCGTGTCCCCGAGGTGTCCCCCGCACAGAACCGCAGGTCACATCCAGCGGGGACAGCATGGGGACAGCGCGGGGCAGCTCTGCCCCATTGCCTGGAGCCCACAGACCCGTGTCCCCGAGGTGTCCCCCGCACAGAACCGCAGTTCTGTGCCTCTCTCACAGGCCACATCCAGCGGGGACAGCGCGGGGACAGCGCGGGGACAGCGCGGGGACAGCGCGGGGACACCCCGAGGTGTCCCCCGCACAGAACCGCAGTTCTGTGCCTCTCTCACAGGCCACATCCAGCGGGGACAGCGCGGGGACAGCGCGGGGACAGCGCGGGGACAGCGCGGGGCAGCTCTGCCGCATTGCCTGGAGCTCACAGACCCGTGTCCCCGAGGTGTCCCCCGCACAGAACCGCAGTTCTGTGCCTCTCTCACAGGCCACATCCAGCGGGGACAGCATGGGGACAGCGCGGGGCAGCTCTGCCCCATTGCCTGGAGCTCACAGACCCGTGTCCCCGAGGTGTCCCCCGCACAGAACCGCAGTTCTGTGCCTCTCTCACAGGCCACATCCAGCGGGGACAGCATGGGGACAGCGCGGGGCAGCTCTGCCCCATTGCCTGGAACTCACAGACCCGTGTCCCCGAGGTGTCCCCCACACAGAACCCCAGGTCACATCCAGCGGGGACAGCGCGGGGCAGCTCTGCCCCATTGCCTGGAGCTCACAGACCCATCTCCTCCCGGCTCCACCCGTGCGAACAAGAGCTGGGAGCAAAAAGCACCTTGAAAGTGCCGGGGCCGTGCCCACCCCAGGAGCAGCCTCCCAAAGGGACTCCAGGCACCCGGATTCGTCCCCTCGTGTCCCTCAGCTCCCTCTGTGCCCCTCAGGCACACCAGTGTCACAGACATCTTTTATGAA